CGAGTGGCTCAGTTGGTTAAGAGCTCGCTCAAGAGTTTGAGCTCTGAGCAACAGCGGTTCGAGTCCAGCCCGAGCTGAGCAGCCGCTGAGCTGCCAATAGATAGCAGGATGGCTCAGCTAAAAAAATAAATAAATAAATAAAAAATAAAAAAACTTTTTGTCAAAAAAATCATGGAATTAAATTGCAAACTATTGAGAAAAAATATTTTGTAACATATATGACAAAGAAAAGTTGCTATCATTAAAATATAAGAAGCTGTTTCAAATCCATAAGAGAAAAATTAACTGCAATAGAAAACCAAGCGAATATAAGGTATAACTCACAAAAGAAGAAATATATAAATGGCTAGTAATAATAATAGCTGTTATTCATTGAGGACTTCCTATGTCCTATTTCCTAAACAATTTACGTGCATTATCTCTAATCTTCCAGCAACCCAGTAACAATGTTAATTTTTTTCATTTTACTGTGGCAAACACTTACATAGTGTCTATGTGGTAGGTAGTCTCTAAGCATTTTACTTAAATTTTACTCATTTTATAGATAAGGAAACAGACACGGAGACTTTAGCAATTTGCACAAATAGTTGAGTCAGTCTTTGAACTCAGAACGTTAGATCCTGTGTTTTTTAACTACTACTCTATACGGCTTCACTATAAAACAAATATAATGTTTTCCTATTCTTATTGATGGATGAATGGTTAAGTTTTTATTGAATTGTACTAACAAGATACAACAGTGTGTAAAATAAATATAGTTGTCTTATTTACACTCCTAAATTCTGCATCTCAAAGGGAGCAGCTATTGACAGCTTAGTAGATATTCTTTAATACTTTTAAGAAAGGAAAAAATTTTTAATGAGATATTATTTTTCTTTGTATACTGTGTGTATGTATTAGTGGTATCACTATTGTATGTATGGGGGAACAAATATATGGGGAGCAAGCACTTTGGTGTACTGCAGATGAGAGTGTAAGAGTTAGCACAGAGTATCTGGTGGAAAATTAGACAGTGTCTATCAAATTTTTAAATGTGCATATTTTATTCATTAGTTGTTTTTTGAGGAATTATTTCTACAAACAATATGACAAATGCCCCAAAATGTTTAAGATGTATGCATAAAGATAAAAATGTGCACCGCAAGGTTTATAATATTATATCAATTAAAAAAAAACAAAACACTGTTGGGCAAGCCGTTGTCTAATCTGTACAGGTTTGGAGAATTACAGTATGTCACCATATAGCCAGTTAAATAGTGGTGGAATTACAGGTGATGTTTTTTCTTTGTAAGATATATCAGAGCAGATTTTAGAATTTAAAAAAACTTTACTACTTCCCTGGGAAACCACTTAATTCTCTGAAGTCACAGTCTCCTCATTGAAAATTACTATAAGGAGATGTGCAGAACTTATTAATATATAATATAGCACCTGACACTCAAATGCTGCTATTATTATTATCTATCTCCATGTTTTTCACAGTTAACATTTTTGGTACTCAGACATAAAAAAGTACCTCAGCAAAGCAGCTTATACCATATTAACTTATCAAATATTTATTAAAGACCAATTCTGAGAATCAGCAGGTATAAATTCAGGTATTCTGGCTCTCTGTGAACTTGAGCAAGTCTCTAGATTTTTAAAATAACTATATCTGCAAAGTGGAGATACCAGCTGAAGTGCCAAACTCTGAGAGTTATTTTGAGGAGCAAATGAGGTAACATAAGTGTAAATTATTTGAAAAAGTAAAGTATTATACAAACACATTTAGTGTAGTAAGCTGGTTTTAAGCATATTGCTAGATTGTCTCTTGCCTAACATAATGCTTGATATCTAGTAAGCATACATTTCTTATTTATAAATTTTTGAATTTATAAATTATACATTTTCTTCCTGCATATTCAGTGTTTGATTTATGAATAATTATTTGATATGTAGAGATTGAGCTTTTCACTTTTTTCCAGCCTGTATTGTTATAATGGAAAAATTATTCTTAAAATTTGTGTACATTTTTGCCCCATATCTTATTTTAGGAATGGAACATTTCTAAACTTTCAATTGAGTATGATTCTGAGCCCTTTGGAAAGGAGCGAGATGCAGCTATTAAGAAACTGGCTACTGAAGCTGGAGTAGAAGTAATTGTACGAATTTCACATACGTTATATGACCTAGACAAGTAAGTTGTTTTTGTTTTTTTAATTATAGTAAAATACACATAATATGTTTGTTATCTTAACCATTTTTAAGTGTAGTTCAGTAGTAGTAAGTACAGAGACAAAAAAGTTTTAACCTGTGGGACTTAGGTTTGTAAGATGGAAATAACATATGCATAATAGAGTTGTGGGAGACCTAAGTAAATATATATCAAACCCTCAGCATTTTAACTGCAGTGATTTTTCCTTACCTAATGGCTGCTACCAAAATTACAGACATAGTGCATAAGATAAAAATACTCAGAATTTTAGTTTTTAAGCTATTAAGAATATCAGAATTCTTCTTGACTGTTCCAGTTCAGCCTACTGTGGTCTTGCCTTTCTGGTCTCTTAAGAATATTAGTTTCATAGTTTACATGCTATATAGGTATAAACTGTCTTGATATATTTTGCATGATTGTCTTAAGTTATTTTACTTTATGTGTGTATATCTTATCTATCTAGATTTTAAGTCCAGATGCAATTTGTGTGAAATATTATTTTGTATAGCTGTAGTCCTCTGAACAATGGCATAATATTATATTTCTCAAAGTGTATTTCTTCTTTGTCTTTTATATTCTTCAATTTAAAGTCTATTTTGTCTGATATAAGTATTGCTACTCCAGATTTTTTCTCATTTCCATTTGCATGAAATATGTTACTCCATCCCTTTACTTTTAGCCTGTATGTGTCTTTTGATCTGAAGTGAGTCTCTCTTGTAGGCAGCAGATGTAAGGGTCTTGTTTTCTTATCCATTCAGCCTATGTCTTTTGATTGGAGCATTTAATCCATTTACATTTAATGTGATTATTGATAGGTGTATAGTTATTGCCATTTTGTTATTTGTGTTTCTGGTCTTCATTAGTTAGATTATTTTCCTCTTTTTTGTGCTTAAAGAAGCCCTTTTAACATTTCCTGCAATGCTGGCTTGGTGGTGATGAATTCCTTTAGCTTATTCTTTTCTGGGAAGCTCTTTCTCTCTTTTTCTCTCCTTTAATTTTAAATGGTAGCCTTGCTAGATAAAGCAATCTAGGGTGTAGGCCTTTGTTTTTCATCACTTTGAATACCTCCTGCCATTCTCTCCTGGCCTGCAGAGTTTGTGTGGAAAAGTCAGCTGTTAGTCTTACAGGAGTTCCTTTGTATGTAACCTGCTGTCTTTCTCTTGCTGCTTTTAGGATCCTGTCTTTGTCTTTAACCTTTGCCATTTTAACTATGATGTGTCTTGCTGTGGACCTGTTTGGGTTCAGCTTGTTTGGAACTCTGCACTTCCTGGGCTTGCATGTTGATTTCCTTCACCGGGGTAGGGAAGTTTTCAGTCATTATTACTTCAAATATGTTCTCGATCCCTTGCTCCTTCTTCTCCTTTTGGTATTCCTGTGATGCACATGTTGTTGCGCTAGATGTTATCCGACAGCTCTCTCGTGCTATTTTCAGTGTTTTTTATTCTTTTTTCTTTTTGTTATTCCACCTCGGTGATCTCTGCTATCTTGTCTTCTAAGTCGCTGATTCGATCCTCTGCTTCATCTAATCTGCTGGTAATTCCTTCGAGTGTGTTCTTTATTTCAGTAATTGTATTATTTAGTTCTAACTGGTTGTTCAAAGTGTATTTCTTGAAATACCAGTCCTTAGCGATATTTTGTCCAACAAAGAGTCTGTGGTCAAGTATAAATTTAGGAAATATTATACGAGCTTGTATGCTATGAGGTTTCAGGGTTCATTAAGATTCATTAACTTATGAGGGCCGGCCGAGTGGCTCAGTTGGTTAAGAGCTCGCTCAAGAGTTTGAGCTCTGAGCAACAGCAGTTCGAGTCCAGCCTGAGCTGAGTAGCCGCTGAGCTGCCAACAGGTAGCAGGATGGCTCAGCTTTAAAAAAAAAAAAAAAAAAAAGATTCATTAACTTATGAACGAACCTTTGGCATACTGTTGTCCTTACAAGTGCTAAATTCTCATAAGTTATGTTCCTTTTAAATTATTTTACTCTTTTAGTTATTTACACATTTTATCAAGTTAATAAAGCGAATTCTAAGTAACATGACAAACTAATATTATTCCATTTTTCCAAGAGTATCAAAAAATTGTGGTTTGATTCAGGCAAGGGTCTTTACTTGATATTAAGCAAAAAGCCACACATTTTTTGATAATAAACTTGTCTTCTAACAGCTTTCTTAACTTTAGGGAGCTGATAGCAAGAAGGAGGTACAACAGGATAAGAGCAGTTGCTTCTAAGTGGAAGATTCAGTGTTATACATAAAATTGGATTGTGTATTGGATTGAATGTGAATATTTACCATATATAATACATCATATAACCATGTAACATACAGAAAACATTTTTTCTAAGGTTTTTATTTTGCTTCTGTTAAGTAATTAGCAGTGTCTTCCTAGTGTCATTGCAGTATCATTACAAACAGCAAATTTTATTATGACCCTATGTATAAACCAAGTATTACACCAAGTATTACAAAAATATTACACCAAGACAAAATTACTAAAAGCAGAGGGATAGTTTTTATGGTGATTAATTTCTGTACATACAATTATATGTGGCATAATGAAAAGTATACTGTATTTGGATTAAGAAAACCTTGATTTGCTACTTATTAGTTATGTTACCATGACTAATTTATTAACTCTCTTGGTAGGCTTCAGTTTCCTATGATAAAATGATGGAGCTGGATTTTATCAGTAATTCTTTATGAAGGCTAAATGCTAAGCAAATGGCCTTATTAAAAAAGAATAATTAGTTATTCCCAAATAGCATCTAATCCAAACTACCATTGGCAAAGCCTATCTTTCGTTTTAGTATGGCTTGATTGAAGCAGTTAGTGATCAAAAGTAAATATAAAATATGTACATAAGATACATAAAATATATGTAAGATACATATGCTGACATTTTTAATAAAAGCATGAACGCAATAGAAAATAGCAAGTGATTATCATTACAGTAATATAGAATTCTAATTAATGAGACTTGTTTGCTCCTTGATATAATATTGGCCTGGTTAACTTTTTGTTGATGATTAAGGGATTCTTTGAGCTGAGTTTTTACATTTTCATATTTTTTTGTTATTGCCTTCAGGCTAAGTTAGCCACTTGTTTTTTTTTTCACTCACAGGTTGATTAATATTAATACCCTTTGTCTTAAAGGTTTTGGTATTTTCATACTGTGTATTTTTGACACCTAGCAGATGTCTAGAAAATGAAGAAAATGATTTTTAGATTCATTAGCCATTTTTAACAAGTTTTCTGGTCATTCTCTTCTCCTAGAAGTCTTAAGTAATTAATTTTATTTTCTGATTTTAAGCCTTTTCAGAGCTTGTCAATCAAAATATATTGTCATTGTTTATACTAACTGCATTTTACTAACTTTTATAATAGGATCATAGAACTCAATGGTGGACAACCACCTCTTACTTATAAAAGATTCCAGACTCTCATCAGCAAAATGGAACCGCTGGAGATACCAGTAGAGACAATTACTTCAGAAGTAATAGAAAAATGTACAACTCCTCTGTCTGATGACCATGATGAGAAATATGGAGTCCCTTCACTGGAAGAACTAGGTAGGTATAAATGGTAATAAATGTAAAGCTTAAGAATTAATAAATCACTTTTAAAAAACCACTTCTAATTTAACATGTAATGTATTTTGCATTAAGAGGGAAAGAAAGAAAGGAGAAAAAAGAAAAGAAACTCAAACTAAGAAGTGATAAATCTGTGTATTATTTATGTTTTTTAAAATATGTGATCTATCTATCACTATAAGATGTGCATTCTACAGGATAGCGAACATGTTGCATCCTCTGTGTCAGGATCTTTCCAGGGCGCGCAATTCATTTTTATGCTACTGTCATAACTTTTGTGCAAAATAATTTTTTCTCGCAATTACTGTGGTTAAATGAAAATTATTTTTATTCCAGAAGAATGATATTTTTATAATTTTTTTTTAGGTTTTGATACAGATGGCTTACCCTCTGCAGTATGGCCAGGTGGAGAAACTGAAGCACTTACACGTTTGGAAAGGCATCTGGAAAGAAAAGTATGATAATATAGATCATGCTCATATTTTCAAACTAGCATTTTAAAAATAATTCACCCTTTTTATAAAAATAAAAAATAGACTGTTGAAAAAAGATTGAGAGAAATACTTAAAATAGCATAAACCTAATTGTTTGAAAATTAACAACTTTGTCTTCATTTAAATACCTTTTCCCTACTTTTCTGATTATTTCCTCTTTAGCTACTACCAATACTACTTCTTCTTTTCTTTTTTTTGTAAGCTGGTATCTGATGACCATAACTTTAAAGCTAGAATAGAGTTCTTCTATTTCCCCTTTACTTCAGCGTCAAAGAGACATATTGAAGGTGCTCTCAGCCTTGTGTTAGGAATTTGAAGGTAATTTATTTCACATGAGTATGTGCTATGTCAAGATGGCTGAAAAAAAAATGTTCACTTGTATCCTTTCTTGTTTTTTATTAAAACATGTCATTTGTGGCTGGAATAATAAGATTTTATTACCCAAGATCTATGTAGCTTTTATTTTAAATCTAAATTTTAAACACTCTTTTAAAATGGAAAAGACAATTAGCGTAATTCTCTCTGTGTGTTTTCAGGCTTGGGTGGCAAACTTTGAAAGACCGCGAATGAATGCGAATTCCCTGCTTGCTAGCCCTACTGGACTCAGTCCTTACCTCCGATTTGGTTGTTTGTCATGTCGACTGTTTTACTTCAAACTAACAGATCTCTACAAAAAGGTATTAACTAAAACTGAATGTTATTTTCAAAATACTTTTTTAAAAATTGCTTATAATGCTTCTTGGCTTTTTAATCTTAGGTAAAAAAGAACAGTTCCCCTCCCCTTTCCCTTTATGGGCAGCTATTATGGCGTGAATTTTTCTATACGGCAGCAACAAATAATCCACGCTTTGATAAAATGGAAGGAAATCCCATCTGTGTTCAGATTCCTTGGGATAAGAATCCTGAGGCTTTAGCAAAATGGGCAGAAGGCCGGACAGGTTTTCCATGGATTGATGCCATCATGACACAGCTTCGTCAGGAGGGTTGGATTCACCATTTGGCCAGACATGCAGTTGCTTGCTTCCTGACACGAGGTGACCTGTGGATTAGTTGGGAAGAAGGAATGAAGGTATGTGTTCTACCTAATGTAGCATGGTCTTATTTTAAAGGACTTTATACCTCATTAAAATAATTTCTAGAAGTTATCTATTATGTAGATTCATTTATAGTGTAGTTTTTCATTGAGTAAAGCATTTAATTCCCACAATACAGTCACATTTGGAGAGCAAAATAGTGTAATCAGACAGGAGAAATGGTGAAAACTGGTTCAATTAACCTAAAGTCATTTCTATGGCTAAACCAGCCTAGGCATCAAGGAACCACAAGATTTAACACTTTGGACTTACTGTGTCAGTGTATTTATAGGTGATCATTTCTGTCACAAAAAGGATTCATCCAAGAATTCTTAGAAATAGTGAATTCGTAGTATAAATTTACAAATATATATCATTTCATCTCACTTCAGCATCACAGCTTTGTAGTAATACTTGTGATCTGGAAAGTGAAGCATACTACATTTTGTGACATTATCTTATGGTTATACATAACAAGATTTACATACATGTTTTACATTCCTACCTACATCATAAATTTCCCCTATCCAAGGACCATTTCTGTGTGGTCCTATGTGTTTTTTTGCATCTCTTACATTTCCTAGTACAAAGTTGTACATGAGGTAGATGTATAGCACACACTTAATGAATTTTTTTAAAAAATCATTTATTTAAATTGTTTCACTTTTGGATCAAGAATTTTCAAATTTAAACTCTGAAAATACTAGTGCATTTTAAAATATTATTTAAAAGTTTATTGGTTAATATCTAAACACTTGAGGATTTTCCAGTTCTTTTTCTTTTTAACCCAGTTTAGTTTTTTCTTTTTTCAATTACAGTTGACATTCAATATTATATTAGTTTCAGGTGTACAGCATAGTTGTTAGACACATATTTTATGAAGTGAAACCTCCCCCCTTGTCGATAAGTCTAGTATGGACCTCTCACCATACATAGTTATTACAATATTATTGGCTATATATGCTACACTTTACATCCCCATGACTGTTTTGTAACTGCCAGTTTGTACTTCTTAATCCTTTCACCTTTTCCACCCAGCCCTCCAAGCGCCCTCCCATCTGAATGCCAGTGCATTTTAAAAGATCATTTATATTTGGATGCTCCCTTTATGTAGGCCAGTGTACCAAGCTTCTAAGTTTCTGTTGGTGATTTATTTGGTAGCATTTTTGTGTTCCTGAAAGCGTTTACTGCTTTTTTTCTTCCATTTTTTAAATCTCCTCGTGTCTCTTTTAAATGGGTGACTTGAGTAATTTTTTTTAACCTCCTTCCACATAGCACTGCAAAGATTAGAAAAGTGAATTCTATTCAGAAATCCACTGATGTTACTGATATGTTTCTTTTCCTGAAATAACTCATTATGGAACAGAACATAGGCAAGGAAGCTAACTTTGGAATGTTTAATTTTACAGTTCTGTGCTAGATTTTTTTGCCTTGACTTTTGATCTACAGAGACCTGGAAAATGCTTGTTTTGAGAATTATGCGTGTGCAAACTAATTGGTTACTGTTACTTCTGAAGGTATTTGAAGAATTATTGCTTGATGCAGATTGGAGCATAAATGCTGGAAGTTGGATGTGGCTGTCTTGTAGTTCCTTTTTCCAACAGTTTTTTCACTGCTATTGCCCTGTTGGCTTTGGTAGGAGAACAGATCCCAATGGAGACTATATCAGGTAAATCAAGGGTGATTATTATTCAGTTTGGAATAACTAATCCAGGAAGAGCTTTTCATATTTAAGCAACGCTTAAAGTATTCCCCACATCTGATGGGCAGCAGAGATGAGGAGAAAGGTAAACAATCATTTAAATGGTATTGATTTGATTTTGGTCATACATAGCTAATAAATAGTTTGTTATAATTTGCTTGTAGTTCATTTTATTAATACTTTTTCTTCCTTCTTCCAAAAGGCGTTATTTGCCTGTCCTGAGAGGCTTCCCTGCAAAATATATCTATGATCCCTGGAATGCACCAGAAGGTATCCAAAAGGTAGCCAAATGTTTAATAGGAGTTAATTATCCTAAACCAATGGTGAACCATGCTGAGGCAAGCCGTCTGAATATTGAGAGAATGAAACAGATCTACCAGCAGCTTTCCCGATATAGAGGACTAGGTATGTCAGTAACTGCTGTTGATTTGTTTCTTTGGCAGTTGTTTATGTACCTATCCTTGATTTGATCTGATCATAATTTAATAGGAAATGTTTTCCCTTTAGGTCTTCTTGCATCAGTGCCTTCTAATCCTAATGGGAATGGAGGCCTCATGGGATATTCTCCTGGAGAAAATATCCCAGGTTGTAGCAGCAGTGGAAGTAAGTGAAAAAGAAATGTCTGTATTTAGTAACATAAAGAGATTAATACTCAAATATATTTTTATTGAACCTCACTATAATGTTTTAAAAAACCTGTCTTTAAAATTTATATAATAGGTTCTTTGTACACATGCATACATACATACATGCACACACACACACACACACACACACACACACACACACACCCTCACCCTCACCCTCACTCCATTAATGACATTTTAGAAATGAAAAGCATCATTACATGTAGTAGAATTTGGGTCAAGATAAAGATCTTTTTGCAAACTGAATGAGGAGAGCAATTTTAAGGGTAAAATGAAACTGAAATATTATATTTTCAGAATGCCCATTATTTTTTACTCTCTTTAGGTCTATATCAGCTATAAGGTAACTAGTTAAGAAGGTCAGTGGCCCTGTGAATATGGCCAAAAGATTTATCATGCACGTACATAGGACCTCTAGTCCTTTGTACATGAGTTTTTCCTTACAAAGCCTGGTCTGTAATGGTTTTCTGTATGATATATATTTAGTTGCCACATGTATTTTTAATATGGGTGATATTAATGTCAAGAAGACAGTGTGTTGTATTGGAAATTTGAATCATTATATCAGTTTTCAAAGGTTCTAACCAAAAATAGCAGGAAATTAATTAATTTGATTAAAACAATCAGCATTTGAGGAATGCTTATTTTTTTTTAAGTCAGGTGTTCAAATTTGTTATTAAAAGTTAAACCTTTTAAAAATTAAATCTTTCTGAATTCAGGAACATCCTGCATCCTTTTGAGAGAGAGCATGTAATTAGGGAGAAAGGAACAAAGGCACTCATATTTTGACTACCTACTTTGTTTCTGGTACAAAGGGATTTTTGCCACATTCTCACACTAACCTGGGGAGGTGACGGTGGAATTCTCATTTTATGATTGCGGAAGTAAGCCTTGAAAGGTTTGGTAATTTAACCAAGATCCCACAGTTAGTAAGTAGTTGAGCTAAGATTCAGATCCAAGTCTGCTTAGTCCTAAAGTTTTTACTCTTTCCTGTATCACTGGACCTCCCTTGCAAATGTAATGCCATATAGTGTTTATAAGATAAAATATTTTATTACTGGAATGTGTTTCACTTGGCAGTCAAATAATTGCCAATGATGGCAGTATACTTCAAAAATGTTCTTTCTCAGAGTCTCCTAACAATTTGAAATAAACTTAACAAGGTATCTTTTCAAAAGTTCTGTCAGATCTCTTGTTTAGTTCCTAAGCCTGCCTTTTCTGCCCACACATGAGTTTGAGGGACAGAAGTTCTGTGAAGCACTAAAATAACAGGCAGGTAGCAGAGGGGTGAGAAGCAGCAGGCTCCAGGAGCCTGACTAATGGATAATGATGGTACATACTGCTTCTTAGTCCACACCAATCTGTATCCATTATTTGGAGTTATCTGCAAAAACTAATTATGGTAGCAAGTTAAATTGGAATAATTTTGCTTCACAAATCTATAAACAACATATGATATTTTATGATATAATAGGATTAATAAATCTTAAAAGTACTCTAATCATGTAAATATTTGCTTGTAACACTTTGTAGCTAGGTGCAGTGAGGCTTTCAAAAGACATAGACAGCATAAAAGCTATAGTGAGCTTACAGTCTAAATGGGAGTGTGGAAGGGAAATAAAAACAAATGGAAAAAGTGGTAAATTATAAGATGCTGCCTTCACATGCAGTAGGAGAAAAGGGAGAGACCATTGAGAGATGAAGGAACTAAGGAAGTTTTCTTGGAAGATGATAGGGTGGGTAGCATTTGAGTAGGCAGATGAAGGAGAGAGAGCACTATAGACCTGGAAATGGGAATGACTCTGGAACGGTCCTTAGGATTTGGACTATGCTGTTAAGCATTTCTCCCCTCAGGTTTCTGCTTTTTTTGAAAGGACTTACATACTTCTGAAGCATATCCCTTTATGCCCTATACTTATCCTGTTTGTAGGATTTTATTTTACAGTGTCTCACAAGGCATATCAAAGGGCAAGATTCTTTATGACTTTTCTTAGGTTTTCAAATGACTGGAAAATTCTTAATCTCTGCAACACAAATTGTATTTTCTTCCTCTCCTTATAGATTTTTTTGTGCTCATGAAAGGAATAAGCTATACATAAATGTCTTGAAGTATTTTTGTTCTTATAATAAAACAGACCACAATCTGTTTACTATAGTAATGTATTTTAGTTTTTATTTAATTTTTAGTTTAATTTTTTCTATTATACAATACCTGTTCAGCATTATTAGTCATTAGGGAAGTTAAAATTAAAACTACTAAGAGATAGTACCTCACATCCACTTAGGGTAACCAACTATTACTGATTGCCTAGGATTGAGGGGTTTCTTGGGACAGTTTCTTTGCTAACGTTGGAAGAATCCTGGACAAACTGGGGTGAGTTGGTCACCCTGTTGCCCACTCAAGTGGTTAGAATGATAAAGATAAGACAATAACAAGTGTTGTAGGGGATGTGAAGAAACTGGAACCCTCATGCTCTGCTGAGAAATGTGGTGTAAAATGGTACAGCCACTTTGAGAACCAGTTTTGGCAGTTTCTTAAAAGCTAAATATCAATTTAACATACAGTCCATAAATTCCATTCCTAAATATCTATCCAAAAGAAATGAAAACATATGTCTAAACAAAGATTTAAATGTGAATGTTTATATAACCTTCTTCATAGTAGTAAAAATGTGGTCTATCCATGCAATGGAATATTAATTCATACAAAGGAACAAAATGCTGATACATGCTACAACATGGATAAACCTCAAAAATATTATGTTAACTTTAAGAAGCCAGACACAGAAGACGACATTCTTCACAATTCCACTTATATGAACTATCCAGAAAAGTCATGTCTCTACAAGAGACCAAGTAGACTAGTGGTTACTTTAGGCTCAGATGTAGGAATGGGGAATGGGTGCAAATCGGCATGAGGGACCTTTTGTGGGTGATGAAAATATTCAAAGTCTGGATTGTGGTGATGGTTACACAGCTTTGTAATTTTACTAAAACTCATTGAATGGTACACTTAAAACAGGTGAATTTTATGGTATGTCAGTTATACTTCAAAAGTGCTAAGAAAAAAAACCAAAAACACCAAATACTATATTTACTGTAGAGAATTTCGAAAATTCAGAAAAATAGAAAAAACAACAACAAAAATCACCAATAATTCCATCCAGTAGATACAGTCACTATTAAAATTTTGGTGTATTTCCTTTGAATATCTTTTCTATGCAGTTTTCCCCTCATAGTATCTTTAACTTAGCATTTTATAAGTGGAAAGTCCTTTAGGTGTTGTTGATGGTGTAACGCAAGGAGAAAGTGATCATATAAACTTTTGGCCTTAGAAAACTTTTTTTTAAACAAGAAATACTTTTTTTTTTTAAGTTGTTTTCACTCTAAGATCCCCATCTTGTATAATCTTGGCCTTTGAAATTGGCTGTACTGTCACTGAATGCATATGAATGTGGGGATTTATGGCATTTCTAAGTGACTAAGCTAGTCATAGCCAAGTGATCAGCAAAGCTCTGTTCTCTATTCATTGTTTCTCTACTCATTTTTATGGGAAGTTATAAGTGATAGAGGTATTCATGAATTTAGAGACTCAGGAAGATCCTAAGTGCCAGCTTATCATTTAGTTCTCTAGGAAATAAAATCTCATCTTAAGGAAATTCCTAATATATTTATTGAACATACTGATTTACCCCCTCCTCCTGAAAGGTAATCATTCTCCTGTTCCTAATATTAGTTTTGCACATTTTTGAACTTTATAGAATCATATAGCTCATATTCTTTTTGTTGTGTCTGGCTGCTTCCATTCAATATTTTGGTTATGAGATTATTCTCATTTATCTTAGAACTGTAAGAGGAATAAAATTGATGAAGTTGAGAAAATGAAACTAAGGTGACTAATTTATGACTTGGCCTAAGGACCACCTCTGTGAATCTTCCAGTGAAATTGACCTTTCCTTCCACAGTGTCCCCATGGTATCCTGTACCAACTTCCATCCTAACACCTAATGACACTTCTTTGTACTTAGTGATTTTGTGTATCTGTCCCTTCCTATTTGACTGCAAGTCCCTTGAAGGAAAGACCTTACGTCTTAATAATATTTGCATCCATAGTACCTGGTATAGTCTCAAGCATAAATGGGCCTTCAACAAATGTGTAAAGTATGAATAAATTGTAAAATATACATAACATAAAACTTAGCAATTTAACCACTTTAAATGTATAATTCAGTGGAATTAAGTATTTTCACATTGTTGTGTGAAGTTTTAAACCGTGTTGTACAATAATGCATGGCAACAAGTATCACTATTAGGGGAAGCCCTGCTGATAATAAAACCAGGAGTAGCACCATTCACTGATGAATTTGCCATAGTCTAGAGTAGACCTTCACCCTTACAAGTTCAAAACTGAATGTTTCAGTATAGGGTCATCATTCTGTGAATGACAGATTAGAAATTTTAAAATGTGAATTAACATATCGACAGAGAACACTAGATTATTAATTTATGGTGGAGATATCCCTTTCCAGTGATAGAAGGTCTCATCCCTGATCTGATCAGGGAATCCACTTTTTCAAATTTTGAATACCTGAAAAGCTGAATTCTTTATTCAGAAAAATGTAATAAGCATGAAATTACAATAAAAATAAGTACATTTCTTGTTAAGGCCATGAGGTGACTTCTAGGGGCTAGAATGCTCATATTTTTCCATAACCTGGACACACTGATAAAAATGTTTCTCTAGAACCCATTTTTCTGAGCCAACCCATTCTCCTGTAACATTATTCCTTTTTAGAAGGGTTGATGTAATTGCTAGGGCTGCATAACTGCCACTTTGTGTCCCCTCCTTGTGTGATTTGAATTGTTTAACTCAAATCTGGCAGACCCTTATTCCCTTGTCTCCAAGGATATGTTTCGGACAGGTGCTGAGGGAGGTGTGTGGAATAGAGAGACAAGAGGTGAAGGAAGGATGTATAGCTCACTGTTGCCGTATGTTTTGCCTTCATAGTCAAGTGTCTAATTGTCATTCAGTAAAGGAATATTTTTTTTAGAAAATGATTATCAGTGATTTTGCCTTTGAACAGTCAATATTTCTGTGACCCTAAATTTCAGTTTTCCTGATTTGGGCATTTGATTTTTGGATCATATGAAGGATTGAGGTTTAGTTCTAAAAAGCATACATGACCTTAAATGCAAATGCTAAGAATTGGATTTGTAGTCTTAATACATACATCTTGGAATTTAAGTAATTTTACTGTGCTTTAAATACTAACAGGTTGCCCTCAAGGGAGTGGTATTTTACATTATGCCCATGGAGACAGTCAGCACACCCACCTGTTAAAGCAAGGTAAGAATAAAGCATTTGCGTGTACTGTTCTTTTCACCTTTCCTATCTGAAACGTTCATGTTTTAAACGTGTAGGAAGAAGCTCCATGGGCTCTGGTCTCAACAGTGGGAAACGTCCTAGTCAGGAAGAGGACTCGCAGAGCGTCGGTCCTAAAGTCCAGCGACAGAGCACTAATTAGGTAAATGTCTTAGAGCTTTATTTTTCATTTTAGTGGAGTGTGTAATCAACACAAATTAAGATAATTTCCAAAATGGAGCTGATCTCCATTTACAAACCAGAGAGGCATGCATTTTTCAGTTATTGTTAACAAGTCAGTTAGTTCTTAGACAACAGAAATGTGTCTGTACTGGACAAAGTGCTGCCCTCAGTTTTATGGTCATCTTAATCAATCATCTTTACGTGTGAGAAGCTTATGAATTTGTGCTCAGAAAAAGACATCTTTTTCATTTTCTTCTTATGTGACCTTGAGTCTAAAACAAAGTGACTTTTTAGTTTTAGTAGTATTAATATAATCCCTTTATGAACTTTCCCCCAAATTTTTGCCTCTTAAGTCTTTATAAATTCTTTTATCTACTGTGATACTTCTAAAATCTTTCCAGTTAGGGAAGAGTATAATTTTTAAAAAATGTTGGCCCTTTTTGAAAGTATCAAAAAAACCATGCCTGTATTCAGTTCAGTTGGCTATGGGATACTATTTTGTGAGTTAAATTTATGTGAAAAGTATTTATATAGTGCATTTGCCAGATTTTAAAAACTTTTGTCTCTTCAGTTATCTTAAACTATTTACACTTTTTAAATCATTGCTGTTTTTTTCATTGTCAACCTAATTAGACTGTAAATTTCTTGAAGATAAGATCAATAAATACGCATCAAATTTTTATAATTTAATTCCTAGCAATCAAGCTTTACCCATTTTTTTTTTCCCCTTAAATCACAGAAAACATTCGGACGAATACTGTTGCAGCTGAAATTGGTGGGGAGTTCATTACTCTTTTCAGTTAAATTATTTTAAAATGTTCTTCATTGATGGAAAGCAGTTGCTTCTAATGACATTTCTGTGGTTTTTAACTTTTTAATGAATTTCACGTAAGGACACATGGTAATTTGTATATAAAGAACTTGGTAAAAGAATTTGCTTAATGTAAATATGGTCACAATTAGTATAGACCCATCAATATATTTTTGATAATTTTTCATGTATGGTAAAAGTTCAAGTGGCAAACTGATATTCTGATATAAAAATCAAAGTTTTGAGAGTTGATGTGGGAAAATAGGAGGTTTTTAGACTTTCTAAAAGACTTTGTTAAAATTTTCTTGACATCATTGTTTGCTCTAACTTTTCACTCTTTGATAATAATGTTTTAGAAAATGTACATAATCAAAATCAGTAGTTATAGCCTCTGTTAACACAGACAGTATATGTTTTAAAGCTTCATGTATGCCTGTTTTGACCAAACTTGTGGGAGTGTCATGTGTTAAGCTCTCTTTGTCTCCCTTTCTTTGTTCATTTACAGCTAAAGTTACTTTGTTATTAAAGTATATGCATATGTGGAATCTTGCATACTTTGTGGTTGTTTTTCTTTTCTTTTTTAATTTTTTGTTTATTTTAGGTAAGGAGGAGAGTATTGGTTTGTGAGATATGATTACAAATTAGAGTCTGTAAACCACATGTCACCATTCTGAGTAAAGGAACATTTAGTAAAGTAGTATTTTTCAAGATTATTCCAAATAAGAATACTGTCTTCCAGATACTTTCTACTTTTAAAAATAAAGTTATCTGCAAGAAAGATGTAAAACCAAAGAGATTGTTTTCAAGTAGTGGGGATTGTAACTATGAGTTTGTCAGCACAGGGTAACAAGTTAAGAATGTGGGCCCTGGAGTCAGATACCTGGCTCTGCCACTCATTGGCTTTGAGATCTTGGCAAGTTATTAAACTTCTGTGCCTTCTTTTCTCTCATCTATAAAATGGGGATGAGAATAGTATCTGCTTCGTGCTGATAGGAAATGCTCATGACAGTGCTGGCATGTGGTGGGATACACTAGGTAGATGTTTGTTACAGGGCTGCCATGCGTGTAGCTCACCTGATTGCAGTGCATCGTCTGCATAACCGTATGCTGCAGCTCTGGTTAGCTGCCATTGTAATTACTTTATTATCAGTTTCTTGTCTCTAGTAGGCTAATTCTTGACATTTAGAATGATAACAAGTAGCTTTTTGTTTTCCCATCTTTGGTAGCCAATAAATGTTTAGCGTGAGCATCATATTTAAGGGTAACTCAAGATAAATTTGAGTGAAAAATCCAGAAGCAACAAAATATTTTTAGATGATAGGCATTTTTAAAAGTCTCCTGGATAATGAATTAATACTGATCAATAAATTCCATTACTGAGAAAAGAAAAAACAATGTGCCTAAGGAGTAATAATTTAGTTCTTCATGACACCTGTACTTCTCATCTGTTTGGACCTGATTGCACTATATAGAGTTGAGAAATTCATAGACCTAGTATTTACCATCATCATCCAGGGAATAAAAGATTCAGTTTTAATGAGAATAAGTATTTTAGTAAAAGAAAACTATTTCAGCATTGGCACTGCTATTTTACATTGATATTTAAGGGTTTGTTTTTTTTAGGGGTTTTTTTGGGGAAAGCTTTTTTAATTTGGCCTAAATTGTGACTGACAATAATCACTGAAAGGGAAAGAGAGGTATCAATCAGTGTAAATAGGTTGGTGTTCTAAAAACCCTGCTGAGAGGGAGTTAAGACCTTTTATACATTCAGCAAACACTTATTGAACTCATACTACAAAAAACTGCTGGCAACTTGGAAAAACTGCATTGAGGGAACGGAGCTTTTGAATGGACCTATGCAAAGTCCTTATGTTTTTCACATTCACTTAAATTAATAACTTTGGGACATAAAAGACTGATAACTATTATTTTTAATGCATCTCTTAGATACTAGAAACTTCAGGGTCTTCCCACAATTTCCAACATGTTTGTTCTTACAGATAATATGCATCATACTAGGTTCTTTCCCCCATTTCTCCATCCAAGTGTTGTTTTTTTCTTTCTGATTTCATGGTCCTAGAAATGCACTTTTAAATATGTAGGATGGAAAAAGCTTTGGGTAACATTTTAATACAGTTGGCGTAGCTAAGTTGGTCTGTGTCAAGTTTTGATTACAATTCACGGTTATATGTATTATTCCTCACAGCTATGTGGAGCCCTTGTACAGGCTGCCAGCACCCTAGTGCATATCTCTGCTCCCTCCTTCCGGACCAGTGGTTGCAGCCTGCAGTTCTAAGGCCTGAGTTTACATTCCTTAACTTACTTCTCCTCTCTGTATCCTACTCTGATTCCCTTTTCCTAAATGCATGTGAAACATTTTGGTTAGTCTGGACCCCAATTCCTTCTATTTCAGGAAAAAGTGTTTGATAAAACCATGAATAATTAGGTTTTTGTATAAGGGTAACTAGAGGGGAAAAGGTTATTGAACAGGCACTCCCCTACTCATATACATTAGCTTCTCAGTTAATTCTAGAATATCCTGGAGATCAAAGTTGATCTTGAGACAAGGAGCCAGGATCCTTGCTGCTACTTTCTGGAATTAAAGTGCAAGTGTCAGTCCCTCTCAACAAAGCCTTTTGAGCGCAAATTGGGTACTAAGGCTAAAGTCAAAGATTTACTTGGGGCCGGCTGAGTGGCGCGTTGGTTAAGAGTTGGCTTGGGACGCCAGCTCTGAGCAGCAGGGCCCCGGTTCGGATCCCACATGAGGGCCAGTGATGCTGAGCCCTCTACAGCTAACATGGTGAACAACAGCTCGACCTGGAGCTGGGTTGCTGTGAGTGGTTGTCGCTGGTGACGGCATAGGCTGCAGTGGGGCTGGCCCGCAGTGGGCATAGGCTTTCGTGAGCTGCCATGAGCCACAGTGAGCAGCCGTCCGATGGCCGGCGAGTGACTGCCTCAGCCGGGAAGAGCGCATTGATAATACCAACATGGGCCAGTGAAGTGACGTCCTCCACAACTAGACTGAAGAACAAAAGGACAGCAACTTGGCTGTTCTCCTTCCCCGATTTCCCCAATGCTGTTCCCCTCCCCCAATTCCCCAATAAAATCTTTAAAAAAACAAAAAAAGATTTACTTGTGGTTAGTATTTCCTGACTCCCTACCATGTGCCAAGCATTGTTCATTGGAAAATAAATTCATCAGTATCCACAGTGAGTTTTCAAGGTGAGAGGGAAGTCTAGAAGAATCACAGTACTGTGTGTGTGAATGTTTTGTTAGAACTGCACAATGTGTTACGGAAACACTAACCGAGGGACCTCCAGCCTAGGAAGACCACTGCTTTCTGGACTCCCAACTCCACCCACGAGCATAGGACAAGTAGGCTGGGTCAGGGCAGTCTGTCCTTGGAAACATTTAACTCTAGTTGCGATTAGTCATGTTATTGGTTGTTAATGTCTTCGTCCTCCACTGGAATGTAAACTCCACCAGAACAGGAAATGTATGTTATTCCCTGTTGTCTGCTGCTATCTTCTCGTTGCTGTTTCACATGCATGACACTTAATGGGAATGCCATAAATATTTGTTGATCGGATGGATGTGAGAATAAATGAGGCAGACATTAAACCTGGCTTTAAGGAGAAATTAAACTTATGAAGTTGGCACCACAATAATTGGAATGTAAACCATTTGACAGTTATCAGAAAAGGCAAGTATTTAGGTGAAGGTGGCAGGAGGGAATCAGACATTCTCTGACTGCTGGGTGAGTAGCAGGAAGGCTAGTATGCTCCAAAGAGGTTTGGGGCCTTTTTTTTTTTTTTAAAAGATTTTATTGGGGAATTGGGGGAAGGGGAACAGACAAGTTGCTGACCTTTTGTTCTTCAGTCTAGTTGTGAAGGACATCGCTTCACTGGCTCATGTTGGTATTATCATTGCGCTCTTCCCAGGTGAGGCAGATCGGTGGCCGGCCTCTGGATGGCCGCTCACGGCGGCTCACACCAGCTGCTGGCCACACACAGTAGCCCATGGCAGCCCACTGCAACGGGCTGCAGCCTACTCCGTCGCCAGCGACTCACGGCAGCCCAGCACCAGGTCAAGCTGTTGTTCAGCATCTTAGCTGTGGAGGGCAGTGTCACTGGCCCTCATGTGGGATCCGAACTGGGGCTCCCTGCTGCTCACAGCTGGCATCCCAAGCCAGCGCTTAACCAACGCACCACTCGGCCAACCCAAGGTTTGGGGCTTTTAAAAACTACATTTCTTTTGTAAATTTGTTATTTAATTATTGGGAGAATTCTAAATGGCTCTAGATTAGATACACCGGTTTCTGAGTTATTTCTACGTTTTCTTCTTACGGGCTAGTGACATTCCCCAAGGGACAAAACGACTGTAACGCCAACTTTTCCAAAATGCTGGGGGAAAAAGGGCGTGAAAAGGCCAGAGGCAGTAATTGCCGGCACTAGGCGACGTTCCCACGCTGATTCCCACGCTGGCCCGCCTCTGCCACCCCCCCTCCACCCCCACTCCCTTCCCCTTGCAGCGTCTCCGGGCGTCGGGCGGGTCCTGTAGCCTGTGTCCCACGCCCTGATTGGCTGCGTTGGGGCTGCGAGGGCGTGTGTCTGCGTGCTCGTGTCTGCGTGCTCGCGGGCCTACGTGCCTTGACTGGCTTCGGGCAAAAGAGCTGGTGACTTGGTTGGCGCTGCTGAGAGAAATTCGTGAGCCGCTCGGGACCCTGGGCCTTGCTCCCAGCCCTCGGGAAGACGACTGGCCACGGGGATCCTCAGCCGGGTGACATTGGAAGGACGGAGCCAGGGACCCGGGACTCGAGGCTTCTTGCAAGGAGCGGACGCCAGCAGGTGAGTTGCGCGCTTGGCTCCGCCCCTGGGGGTGATCGTCACCAACTCGGCGGCGGCCGCGAGGCTGGGGTCCAGGGCTGCCCACGAGAAACCGCGCTCCCTGCGCGCCGCTCAGCTCCGCCTGCCTGGCCTGGGCGGACGCCGGGGCGCCGCAGGTCAGAAGTTTCTTTGGAAAATCGCAGGCCCCACAGGATGGATGTGTGGATTTCGGTGGCTCCCGGAGATCCTCTTCCTTGGGCCTTCGTTTTTTCCTTGCTTATAAACATTGGGGTTAGTTTGAAACTGTCAGTAGATCGCATGTGGTGTAAAAGTAGAACTTAGTTGAAATTACTGGTGTTAATGTGTGTATTAAAGAAGTGGGTTTCACTCCTCAAAAATATCTTAAGAAACATATTCTCTTAAGTTTCAGAGAATAGCCCATATTGTGATTTAACGAACATTTACCAAGAGCATTACTATCTGTAGGGCACAGGGCTAAGAACTTGGCCCTGGAGCCAAGCTGTGGGTTTGAATACAAGGCCTGCCCTTTACTAGCTGAGCAGCCTTGGGCGTGTTACTGTACCTGCATCTGTGTGCTTATCTGTAAAATGGGTTGTTGTGATGATTTAATGAGTTTCCTGAATACTCGTTAATTTATGGTAACTCCTTTAATCTTCAGCCATCCAGGATGTAGTGTCCCCATTTTCTGATGCTCAGACTGAGGCACAGAGATGTGAAATGACTTCAAGTCACAGCACAACTAATGAGCAGGAATTAAGCCCAGGCAGCCCACAGTTTTAGCCAGTACATTAAGTTGCCTCACGAACTTGGGTTAAATAAATGACAAACATATAGGAGTGTAGTGCTACAGTAGGGTCAAGAGCACGGTGCTATGGAGGAGCACACACGAAGGTCACCTGCCTAGGAATGCCTCCTAGGGTCACCGACGTCAGCCAGGTGAAGAATAGAGAAGCAGTTCATTGGAACACAGTGGCGACCTGTCTCTGCCCCCATGGAGGGTGAGACAGAAAGAACACATGAATAGCTGCAGCCGTGACAGTGGCACACAGGAGCGGGCCATGGTTCCATGAGAGCCTACATTGGGGACAGGTGGCTTGATCCATGCATGAAGATAAGGGAAGTGTCCCTGGGAAAATGACACTTAACCTAGGTTTTAGACAGGTGTATTTTGGGCACCGGGAACAGCCCTCAGTCTTCAAAGAGCCTGTGGTGGGGACAGGTAGAGCATCAGGGACTGAAAGGAAGCAGGCATGGCTGGTGTAGGGAGAGGAGGACCAGGGGATTTGGGTGGCGACAGAACCTAGACAGAGAGGCCTTGCATTGTAAGGCATTTTTATTTTGTTTTACGTCTTGGTCCTGAAGTGCCACTGAAAAGCTGATTGCAGGGAGGTGGCAAGATCACATTTTGAGAAGAAGCTGGAGAGATGCCCAAGTGGATTAACTGACGCCCTGGACAAGGACAGGATCTCTGGGAGAAACTAAGGTAGGGAGAGGGTCTAGAACCGAGCCTTGAAGATGAGCCTGCAAAGGAGACAGATAAAGGGAGGCCAGACATATGTGAAGGAAGGCGGAGCACTGGGCACATGGGAAGGCCTATAAACCAAGTGAGAGAGATTTCATGGAGAAAGTGGTCAATTATACCGGAAGCTGCAGCGGTCAAGAGAGAGGAACTAAAGCTACTCATTGGCTCTCATCACATAGAAGTTGTCTTTATTGGAAGCTATACACGTAGGAGGAGAAGAAATGGAGAGAAAGAAGGATCTGCAAGAATTAACTGAGGGGAAGAGAAAATAGGGTTTTAGGTGGAGCAGCAGTGGGAGGGAGAGCCATTGAGGTGAGGATGGGAGGCTGAGAGAGAGACATAAAGGCTCTACAGACCTCAGGCCAGAGGTGTCGGGATCAGCGCCCGAGCAGGGATTACCCTGGATAATGAGAGCTGTCAGTGCAGGGCAGAGAAGATAGCAGAAGGCTTATGTTTGGTGTGATGAGCTCCTTTCCATTCTATGTACAGGTGAGAGGAGAGGGTATTGTTAAGGGTGAAGGGAATGGGGTTGAGGCGAGGTCCGAGTTGAGAAGATTTGACATAGTTGATGGGGCTCGTGCAAGAGTGAGTTGACCAGAGATTGTTTTAGGATGGTCTGTTAGAGGGAGCCAAGGTCAGAATGCAGCAAGGTCAGAAATTAGCCTCCTGACTCATTCAGGGAATTGTATAATAGTAGGGGAGTAAGGATGGAAGCTAGTTAGAAACAAGCAACATTTAATATATACCGTATTTGCCGGCGTATAAGACGATTTTTTGGCCCTGAAAAATATGCCTCCAAGTGGGGGGTCGTCTTATACGCCAGGTACACTTCAGATAGACTGCCCATAGTGCTTGCCCCGTGCCATAGTGGCCTCCCGATGCCCGCCCACTTCATTCCACATACCGTTCAGGCATCAGCAGCGCTGCTGGGTGTATGCTCGGCTGTTATGCAATTTTGCTGTTATGCGATTTTACCACACTCGCAAAATCGCACACAGCCGACCATACACCCAGTATGATAGCGCAAAATCGCGAATCGCGATACCATACTGGGTGTATGGTCGGCTGTGTGCGATTTTGCGAGTGTGGTAAATTCGGGTTACCGTATATTTCTTTACATATGCATTGAAGATTCGCGATTTTGCGCTATCATGGTGCCTGTTAGAATGTTGAAGAGCTCGCACTTGCGCACTAGTGAGGTCCCAGGGAGATGCTGATGCAAGGGTGGACCAGACTGCTATAGTGACAGGGCGGGCAAACAGGGAGCAGGGACCAATCAAATCAGGCTTTGTATACAGCCAACAGCCAACCACAATACTGCACCATTGTACAGTACAGCATAGAAAATGTCGACCAGTCAAACCCCTATCATCCCTATCATGGCACCAGCCAAAAGAAAGAAGTATGATGCAAATTTTAAACTGAAAGTTATAAACTTTGCTAAGGAAAATAATAATTGTGCTGCTGCAAGACAATATGGAGTAACAGAAAAGATGGTTCGGGACTGGAAATCAAATGAGAAAGCATTAAAGAGTATGCCAAGGGGTAAGTGTGCGTTAAGAAGAGGCACCCCACACTGGCCAGAACTCGAAAAACATGTAGCAGACATGGTGGCTCAACATTGCCAAAACGGTTATGTGGTGACACGAAATACAATACGCTTGTTTGCACTTCAGTGGGCCAAATCAAATCTGATATTGTTTTACCTTTTATTTGGTGTGTGAAAGGTGTGCGGAAGAGGGGGTAGTCTTATACGGCGAGTATATAACAAACTCTGTATTTTGAGTGGAAATGTTAGGGGGTCGTCTTATACGCCCAGTCGTCTTATACGCCGGCAAATACGGTAATAAAGGAGGCATCACAAATCATGGGGAAGGAAAGGATTGTTCAAAAATGGTGCTTGGAGATCGCTAAACTATTGATAAAATCTATTTAGATTCTCAGTTCACAACCAGAAGTTTGAAATGAATTAAAGGAGGTAGCTTTTAAAATTCAAACAAAAATATAGAAGGAAATATGGATGAATTTGTATCTGATTGGTGCTTTAAAAGCAGTAGGAATCATAAAGGAAAGGGAAACTTCCTTAACTCTTTGACCTCTTAAAATTAACCACTTCGTTCTGACACATGGCTATCCTGTGTATGAACCTTGAAAACATTATGTTATGTAAAATAAGCCACATATACCAGGACAAATATTGTGTGGTTCCACTTACATGAAGTACCAAGAACAAGCAAATTCATAGAGGCAGAAAGTAGAATAGTAGTTACTAGGGGCTGAGAGGAGAAAAGAGTGGGGAATTATTGTTCAATGGGTACAGAGTTTATATTTGGGATGATGAAAAAAATTCTGGAAATAGTGGTAGTGATTGTACAACATTGTGAATTTACTTAATGCAACTGAATTGTTCACTTAAAGATGCTTAAAATGGTAAATTTTATGTTACATATATCTTACCACTAAAAAAAAAAAGTAACCACTTTGGTATGCTAAAACTGGAGAAAATATTTACAAAAACGAGAAGATGGTTATTCTTTTTTTTTTTTTTTTTTTTTTTTAGCTGAGCCATCCTGCCACCAGCTCGGGCCATGAATCAAACCGGGGACCCTGTTGCTCAGAGCTCAAACTCTTGAGCGAGCTCTTAACCAACTGAGCCACTCGGCTGACCCGGTTATTCTTAATACATAAAGAGTTCATACAAGTCAATTTTTTTTTTAAGATTTTTATTAGGGAATTGGGGTAAGGAGAACAGACAAGTTGCTGTCCTTTTGTTCTTCAGGCTAGTTGTGGAGGACGTTGCTTCACTAGCCCGAGTTAGCACCATTATTGCGCTCTTCCTGGGTGAGGCAGATCAGTCGCCAGCTTCTGGACGGCTGCTCACACTGGCTGCTGGCTACACACAGTAGCCCATGGCAACCCACCTGCTGTTGTCAGTGACTCCAGGCATCCTAGCTCCAGATTTAGCTGTTTGTTGTTCAGCATCTTAGCTGTAGAGGGCAGTGTCACTGGCCCTCATATGTGGGATCCGAACCGGGGCCCTCTGGCGTCCCAACCAGCTCTTAACCAACGCGCCACTCGGCCGACCCACAAGTCAATTTTTTAAAAGCAGAAAGATTGCTGTTTAAAAAGGCAAAAGGCAGGAATAGTTAATTCACAAAAAAGAAATAAAGATGGCCAAATTACTTATGAAAAACTCAGCCTCACTAATAATAAATTATCTGAAGGAAACTGGTGTTAGAAATTATCTGAAGAAAACTCCGGTTGAACTACTAGAAGTAAAAGGCTATGCCTGTAATTATTGCAGACATGATAGGCACTAATAGTGAGCTGTTATTACAAATAGCAAACCAAAATGAGAACATTGTTACTTGTTATTTTTTCCTTAGAGAATAATCGTTCCTTTGGATTAGTTAGGACAGGCTTAAGAATGAAGAGTCCTTGGCATGTGTGGCCAGGGCATACATGTCCTGACCTGTATATATGCCAAGGACTTTATTACAGCTGGGATGGGAAATGACCTTTTTCGGCTTTCCTTCAAACCTACAAATAATAAGGGAAGGCTGCTAAAATATTAGCTAAATAGCTCAGTAGTACACACTTTTGTGGCAGGGCTGAGACATTTAATTCTAGGTATTAAAAGTTAAAACCACAAACGAGGCATGTTTTCATTACCAGAGATACAGGCAAATAGTGCCAGAGGCTACAATGCATCAAGCACAGTGCAGCCATCTCTAGGGACCTAAAGTCAAGCTGTCCAGTGGGGCCAGCTGGTTAGACTGTTGTAAAAGTGTCATTCCCATTCCATAGCTAATAGGATTTCCCAGGGCTCCACTGGGGCGGTCACATGGCATTTCTCATCATACCTGGCTAAGATTTATTTTAATTCTGGATTTATAAAACGGGTTTTCAGATAATTCTCATAGAACAAAGCATACATTTATTAATTAATTTTAAATAGATTTACTGACTTATTTTGGGTAATAGTTATTCAGCAAAAATGTTTACTCTAAAAAATAGAACTATAGATGACCCCCATTTCTTAATACACATTTGCTTCACCTAAACATCACCTTGAAAATATACGTTAAAACAAACAAACAAACAAAAAAACGGGAGTGACCAGTTAGCTCAGTTGGTTAGAGCATGGTGCAGATAACACCAAGGTTGCCGGTTTGATCCCTGCATGGGCCACCGTGAGCTGAGCCCTCCCTAAAAGAGTCAACTATGCCATTGTAGCATGAAAGCAATGTGTAACCAATGACCATGGCTGTTGCCCAATAAAATTTAAAAAACAATCAACATAAAACCCCGTAAGTTTTGTGTGTATGTCTCCTAAAGAGAAACATATCAATGGTTGTAGGAGGGGGAATTTGTGTCAAAATAACATCTGTGGTCTGTGAATCTTTGAACATTTTGTGGTCTTGCTTCAGATCTGAAAAATAGAAATAACTTCTTCACAAGGTTGTTGCAAAGCTCAAGTAGACCATGTTTTCATAAAGTATAAGACGTCTAAGTTGGGAAGAGGTAGAATTACTTTATAGATTATTTAAGAGGATGTATTTACTGTTCCACGAGTAGCTTTCCTGTTGAATTTAAATCCATGTTATTTCCACGCTTACTGTTCACAGCTCAGATTTGCGCTTGTGTTCTAAAAGGCAGCAGCCCTGTGTGTAAACCTGTGTCTTCTTTCTTACAGGCGCCATGAGTGCATTCTGAGCCCCAGGACGACGGGAATCAGCCAGTGGATTGCAGGCATGTTGTGGAAGCTGCTGATGAGATGCCAGCCTTGCAAGCTGTGTTCTCTCAGGCAGATGCTATCAGCTCCCAAATACAGGCCTTTTTTATCACGCTTCCCCTACACAACTGATCATCAGTCAAACAAAGAAAACCAGAGAACAGTGGAAAAGCTCTCTAAATTTTCAGTTGACATCAGAAAAATTCGCAGATTCAAAGGATGGGTACTTTTGGAGGATGAAACCTATGTTGAAGAAATTGCAAATATTTTACGACAAGTTGGTGCTGATGAGACTGCTGTCGCCAATATTTTGGAACGCTGCCCAGAAGCAATTGTCTGCAGTCCAGCCGCTGTTAACACCCAGAGGAAACTCTGGCAGTCAGTCTGTAAAAGCGAGGAAGAGTTAGTCAAATTAATAGAACAGTTTCCCGAATCTTTCTTTACTGTTAAACACCAAGAAAATCAGAAGCTGAACATTCAGTTCTTTCAAGAATTGGGACTCAGAAACGTGATCATTAGCAGATTTTTGACAACTGCATCTAGCATTTTTCATAATCCTATTGAGAAGAATAAGGAAATGATAAGGATTCTCCAAGAGAGTTATCTAAATTTAGGTGGCTCTGAGGCCAACATGAAAGTTTGGCTACTAAAATTATTAAGCCAAAACCCATTTATTTTGTTAAATTCTTATGCGGCTATAGAGAAAACACTAGAATTTCTCCAGGAGCAAGGTTTCACAAATTTTGAAATTCTCCAACTTCTGTCCAAGCTCAAAGGGTTTCTTTTTCAACTCTGCCCAAGAAGTATACAGAACAGTATTTCCTTCTCTAAAAATGCTTTTAAATGTACAGATCATGACCTGAAGCAATTAATTTTGAAATGTCCTGCCCTTTTATATTATTCTGTTCCCATTTTGGAAGAGAGAATTCAGGGATTATTAAAAGAAGGAATCTCTGTAGCTCAGATAAGAGAGACACCAATGGTTCTTGAATTAACACCACAGATAGTACAGTACAGAATAAGAAAACTGAATTCCTTAGGCTATAGAATAAAGGATGGACATCTAGCAAATCTAAACGGAACAAAAAAAGAGTTTGAGGCTAACTTTGGTAAAATTCAGGCCAAAAAAGGAAGGCCATTATTTAACCCTGTGGCACCATTACATGTTGAAGAGTAACTTGCTGATTGATGCTTGTGAAACTGAGTAGCAAAGACATATGTGATTCCGGCAGCAGTAATTTTTAAGAACCTACCTAGCTTCTGATTATATGTAAATTACTTGTAACTAAAAAAATCTACAACTCATTGGTCATATTTTGAGATGTAAATTGTATTTATTTTAAATAAAGTTGGTAATTTTGACCTTAAGCTATTTTTTTAAACTCCTATACTATTAAATGGCACAAGGTGATATTTTATAAGTGAATTGTCTAAGAAACTGACAAATGTACTCCCTTAATTCAAAGTATTCATACAGCGCAGGTCATCTGGATGCAGACCCACCCTTCTCCCTCTCCACCAGCTCTGAAGCATCGTGCTACTGTGATCTAAATTCTGTAGCTCAGTGTTAAGTGAAACATCCGCAAACTTCTAATACATTTTTTCAGAGAAAGCTGATTTTATCTCCTGGTTGGAATAAATATCTTTGAGAGCCAAGTACAGTAATACCTTGGTTTGAGAGCATAATTTGTTCCAGAAACAAACTCGTATTGGAAGACATCGCTCGTTTACCAAGTTAAAATGTATTAGAAATGTGTGCTCATCTAGCGGAACACTCGCAAACCAAGGTTTTACTGTATTATCCAAAAAGAAGAATTAGAGCTTACTTGTGTGGTCAGTTTGTTTAAAATTGACCGTTTTCTCTCTCATGAAACGCTTTTATGTGCATTCATTACTTTCCCCGTTTTACAGATGAGGAAACAAGCTTAGGCCACTCAGCTGCCAAGTGACAGCCCAGATTTACTATGATCTGAATTCATTTTAAACCTTGTGAATAGAAAAATGATTGCTTATGAGTTGGCTCCAGAAAAGTCACCCCTACCCGACCTGCCAAAACAGTGAGTACCAACAAATTTAGGGATTTTTATGCAAACTTCTCTGAAAAATTCCTTAAATTTGAAAAATTTATATACATTGAGTAAATGGAGCTTTTTAAAAAAAACTTTCTGAAAATCCAGGTCTGCCTATAAAATGGAAAGTGTGATGGCATTGATTTTAGTAGCATTTCAAATTTCTATTTCTAAATCTTGTTCCAAGATAAACATTACCCAGATAATGACTGGCTTACTCTAAGCTGTAGAGTGTGAACTTTGTAACAAATGCACAACCAAACAATTGACTCTGATTCTCAAAAACCTGTGTGCTATGTGCATATGGCTTTTTCTTAAGTGAGGAAAAAGTTACAGAAAATGCAGGCCATGTCTTCATTCAGCAAAGGCAAGTAACCCTCACTATGCACATCTGTTCAGTTCCTTAGGACAGTGAAAGAAATCTCTGCAGCACCTCTTAAGTGCCAGGCACATTGTGCTTTGCAACCCTAAGAGTTCAGCACCATTGTTTACTTACTATTCTACAGATGATGAGATTCTGGCACAGAAAGGGTAAGTTACTTACCCAAAGACACACAAGATTGTTTGTTCAAGAAAAAGAATGGCAGCAAGTATGGTTGGGGCAGGGCTGAGTGTCAGGGAGCGTGGTGCAAGATAAAAGGCGAGCAGTACAGGTCCATCTAAGAGCTGAATCGCATTCTAAGTGCAGTGGGAATCCCTTGGAGAAATGTTAAGTTTGTGCCTGTTCTGAAATAACCAGTTGTGCTCGCTCGCTCTCAAGTGTCTCAGTTTGGAATACATTATACATTGTATGGTCGCCTTTTAGATGTCAGTTTTGAGATGCCCACTTGGTATCTGAGCAGAGATGTCAGGCAAATGGCAAAGTCTGGAGTTGTGAGAAGTCAGAACTAAAGAGAAATATTCAGGGGCCATCTGCATATCTGTGGTATTTAAAACTATGACCCTAGACGAGCTTGTGCAGAAACAAAGTATAGATTGGTAGCAGTGGCTGGCCAAACCTGGAAAGGGTTAACTAGAGGAAGAAGTCGCCAAGAAGAGAGGGCATGGTCAATAATATTGAATGCCACGGAGAGGTCAACTAAGATAAAAGTGACGGATGAATTTAGCCAAAAGGAAATCATTAGTTGGCCTTATCAAGAGTGATTCTGGCGGAATGAGCAAGGTCAGAAGGCACCCGGAGTGGGCTGAGAGAATAGGAGATGAGCAAGAGGCAGAAGCTGTCAAGTTTTTCAAGAAATTTTGCTGCAAAGGGAAGCAGAAAAACAGGTTGTGAGATTAATTTTTCCTTAAAGAAAATACGAGAACATGTTTATATGCTGATGGGTATGACCCAGGAGAGAGACGATGAGAGATGGAAAACTGCAGGATTAATAAAATGAAGGTGGTCTGACTTTGGGGAAGAGTAGAGATACTAGTCCTGGTCCACGGAGAGTGGGCCCAGATGTAGGCAGGTTGATGGGAGGGGGTGGCATGAGAGGCTGGAGAATCACTGGTTGCTTCTTTACAGGGAAGGACAGGAGGATGGAAGGAGACGAGTACAGCTGGAGGGCTGCAAAGAGGAGGTGTGAAATAGTTGTTGGGAGCAGTAGGAAAGTGAACATACAAGAGGGGCTTTGAGAAAGCTCGACAGAGTTGAGTGGGCCATGTGTGCTTTGTGGCCATTAGTTTAAAGAGCCTAGTCAGTACGGCAAAATTTAGTTGTGCAGGCTCACGCACAGAGAACCAGAGGCAGTTACGGTTTTATAAATAACATTTGTAGCTTACTCTAACTTGAAAAGATTAAGTTAAAAAACAATCCACATTCATGGGAAAACATGCAGTATATACTGACTTTATTTTCCCTTAGACCAAATCCCATTCCATATTTTCTTTTGTAAGCCTTTGAACCTCTGCCTTTTAAAAAAATTTTATTTTTGTATTAGTTTCAGATGTACAAAGCAATGTAATAGACATTTAAACCCCTCATAAAATGATAACCCGCCCCCCAAGCTACTACCCCTCTGACATCTTATATAGCTATTACAATACCATAGACTACCTTCCCTATGTTGTATTCCGCATCCTGTGACTATATGTACCTTTATATTTAGTTATAGTTGACATTCAACATTATTCTGCTTCAGCTTCAGGCGAATAGTGCAGTGGTCAGGCATCTGCACAGTCTATGACATGATCCCCCTGATAAGTCCAGTGCCCATCTGGCACCTTACATGATCTTTACATTATTGATTATATTCTCCATACTGTATTAACTACCAATTAGTATTTCTTAATACCTTCACTTTTTTCACCCTGCCCTCAACCCCTTTCCCTTCTATCACCCTGATAGATCCCATCTGGCACCATACCTAGTTATTACAGTATTATTGAGTATATTCCTTATGCTATACTCCACATCCCCATGACTACTGTATTAACAACCAATTTGTACTTCTTAATCCCTTCCCCTTTCACCCATCCTTAACCTTCCTCCTATCTTAAAGAAGTCCCTCTAAAATACCTTGTAATACTGGTTTGATGGTGATAAACTCCTTCAGCTTTTTCTTGTCTGGGAAGCTCCGTAGCTGTCCTTCAATTCTAAATGACAGCCTTGCTGGGTAGAGCAATCTTGGTTGTATGTTGTTGCTTTTCATCACTTGAAATATTTCCTGCCACTCCCTTGCCTGCAAAGCCTCTGTTGAGAAATCAGCTGCCAGTCTTATGGGGGCTCCCCTGTAGGTAACTAACTGCTTTTCTCTTGCTGCTTTTAGGATTCTATTTAACCTTTGGCATTTTAACTAGGATGTGTCTTGGTGTTGGCGTCTCTGGATTCATTTTGTTTGGGACTCTCTGTGCTTCCTGGGCTTGTATGTGTATTTCATTCACCAGGTTAGGGAAGTTTTCTGTCATATTTCAAGTAGGTTTTCAATTCCTTGCTCTCTCTTCTTCTGGTACCCCTATAATGCGAATATTGGTACGTTTGATGTTGTCCTGGAGGCTCCTTAAACTCTCCTCAATTTTTGGATTATTTTTTCTTGTTTTCTGTTCTGCTTGGGTTTTTTTCCTGCTACCTTATCTTCTACATCGCTGGTTCATGTCTCTGCTTCATCTAATCTACTGTTGATTCCCTTTAATGTAGTCTTCATTTCCAGTATTGTATTCTTTATTCCCGACTGGTTCTTTTCCATGTTTTCTATCTCCATTTTTATGCTTCCTATCTCTCTGTTGAAGTTCTCCCTGAGATCACTGAGCATCCTTATAACCAGGGTTTGGAGCTCTGCATCTGATAGATTGCTTGTCTCCATTTCTTTAGTTCTCTTTCTGGAGCTTTGTTTTGTTCTTTCATTTGGGACATGTTTCTTTGTCTCCCCATTTTGGCTGCCTCCCTGTGTTTGTTTCTATGCATTAGGTAGAGCTGCTATGTCTTCCAGTCTTAGTAGAACGGCCTTAGGTGTGCTGTGCGGTTCAGTGACAGTCTTTCTGGTCACCTGAGCCACGTGCTCCAGGTGTGTCCCTTGTGTGAGTGTGTGTACTCTCCTCTTGTAATTGAGCTTTGGTTGATAATTGGACATCAGTGAGAGTGACTGACCCTTGGGCTCACTGGTTGTGAGGACTGGCCTTGATTACACTGGAAGAGCTGTTGTGCAGGGGCTGACCCTACAGAGCAGTATCTGCCTCAGCAGGACTCTGGTGTCTGCTCAATCTACCCCTTGGGTGTGTCATTCCAGGACGCAGCTAGGTAATGCTCCAGCTCATTTTGAGGCTGGCCACTGGGGGGCGCCAGCCCCAGGACCACCTTGGTGGGGATCCACTGTAGGTCAAGTTCAACTGCTGCCCACACTGGAAGCACCTTGAGAAGCTAAGCTGAGAACCAAGGCCGGGTGCCTCTAGTGCCACGCTTAGGGCTGCTCAGCCAGAAGTACAGGACACACTCAAACCAGAGGCTGTTTGTTTGGGTTCTGAGAACCTTTGAGAGACCCTACGAAAGTCTCCAGCATGAGCTAAGGCAGGCAGTTTGTATAAAAAAGCCACTGGAAGCTGTTCGGGTGTGTCTGTAAGTTGGACAAGGCCCGGTCTCGAATCACCAGGGCCTGGCAAACAAATGGCAGAGACTCAGATATGGAGGCCGCCTGTGTCTGGCAGAGAAGGGGGAGGGCTCACAAAGAAACAATGGCCTCTGCCAGCTCCTCCGTCCAGGAGAAAGCCGCCTCTCCAGCCTGTCCCAAGCCAGACAACTCAGTTCCCCACCATGTGTCCCAGCCGCCTTTCCAGCGGCTGCCCCAGCGCTGGAGCTCAGAGTGAGTGATTCCACTGGTGGGTAAGTCCGTGCACTATCCTTTCTAGAGGAGCGCCGGTGAGTGCAGCCACCTTCTGTCTCACTCAGTCACAATCTCCGCAGGTTTTCACAACCAGAAATTATGGCGGCTTCTCTCCCTGGCACCGGAACCCTAGGCTGGGGTAGGGCTGGGACCTCTCACTCCTCTAGGGGATGGGGAGGGACCCCCCACAGCCAAAATAGCCCTCCCGATTTTTAATGGGACCAGCCCATTCCGTGTCTCAGACCTTCCTACCAGTCTAGAGGTGGCTTCTTCTGCACATCCTTAGGTGAAAGGCTTCAGTTCAGCTTGATTTTAGGCTATTCTCAATAATGGTTGTTTTGTAGATAAGTTATAATTTTGATGTGGTTGTGAGAGAAGCACAGCGTTTACCTACTGCGTGCACCATCTCAGTATCTTCTCTCCGCCTTTTTCCATTTTTGCATTCTTATTTACATCTTTCTATGAATAAAATTTAAAATATTCAAAATCAACATAGCAGGGAGAGAGATATTCTTACATAAAATGTCATTTTATTTCCTGTGTGAAAAAGGCTCTAATAACAATTATTTCCTTCAAATAATTTACGTATAATTACACCAAATTTATTACTGTGACAAAACATAATTAGCTGCCCAAGTGTCACCTGATGACTCCAGTGAGGTCAAGTTAGACAGCCTGGTAAGTCAAGCATTAGGCAGCACTGTCAACAGCAGAACAAAGGACGAGTTACAGAGTGGCCTCACTTCTGTTTCTGGACATAGCTGGAGAAGTTGTGACTTAACACTAATTCAGGGGACACGTGGGAAATCCAACTAACATTGAAAGTTAACCTGTTCCGTATTTGTAAAGAGATAACTTCCCTCATATTTATTACATCACATAAGGTATGGACAGCACCTGGTGGGTAAGTAGATGCCCAGTAAATATCAATTTTCTGCCTTTCTCCAACTGGTTCTCATCCCTTTGAGTCATTTCTGTCCAGTGAGAGGTGTAAATTCGTTTCACAGCTACTTAGGACAGAGGGAAGTGCCCCCTACTTTATAACATCTCCATCAGTCCCCCAATTTTCAAGTGCATAGAAATCACCTGCAGAGGTTTTAACCTGTAGTCCTGGACCCCACCCTGCAGATTCAGCAAGTTAGGGTAAAACCTAATCTTTGTTAGAGCTGTTTAAAGTATATTTGTATTTCATGATTGTGTTGGCATCAAAATACATATTCAGAAATGTTTTGTTTGTGAATTAAGATAAAAAAAAATTGAAAAACTGGCTACAGTACTTTCCGAACTGCTGTGTAACTAAAAATTTTAAGACTACCCTGTTTTAAAATTTCCTTTATTTCCTTAGATCTTTATGAAACATTTCATCTTTTGCAGATTGTAGTGCTTTCATTAACAGATCCATGTATTATTTTCCCATTTTAATACAAAAAAAATTCAGTCATCAGTTATTTCATCTGACATTTCACTAAGTGCAGGATTCATGTCAACATTATTAGATCAGTCATTCAGGTGGGTCACACAAATTGTGCCAATACCCACTCAAAAGATAAGCTTAATAACAGATGCCTCCAGGTGTATACAACAATCTTAGTTTCTTGAAGTGAACTAGTACTGTTTAACAGGTCAAATTGCTAATTTACAAAAATAAGCTGGAAAAGACTCAAGTGTACTGCTATACACATTAAATGGCAAGTTTAGTTCAACAAGAACCTCTGTAACTATTCATTTGTACAGTTCTCTGCTGTCATTGCAAAAGCCTCTTCTGAACAAAGTGTATTTATAATTTAAAACAAACTTGATAAGATAGAATGTACCAGTTACCAGTAGGCTGTTCTGTAGCAGAAATTAATTACAACCATTTTCCTCAAGCAACATTAAAGACAACAAACTTGAAAATAAATATGCAAGCATACAGTAAACTAAACTCTGTATTTAGAAATTCAGGTACAAAGCACAGCAGAGCCTATGACTATTGAAGATAAATTAGAAATATAAACTAGCAATGAAGCAATAATTTCTTTCAAATAGCAGGAAATGAGTTCTCCAATACCATTATTTAGATCATTATTTGTGTTCATCTATTAATTTTGGAGTTTTTTTAATCCTCCATCGGGCGCAACTGATCTCACAGATTCATTGCACACAAAGCTGCCGCTATGAACTACGTCTTTACTGTACTAAGTCACAAACACGACTGGCAATAGGTTACGGTAGAGGGGGGAGATACGGAAGCGATGAGTCACGATACTTAACTGTTAGATATTTGAAAATTTGTGTGCAATGAATCTGTGAGATCAGTTGCACCTGACGGAGGGTTAAAAAACCCTTTGCTAATTATGACATTTGACCAGATATACCAACAAGTATACCTTAAATCAGACAGCATGAAATAAACGGCCACTTAATTTCTGATGACTTGAACTTCTTAACGACTTTTCAGTTTTGTATACTGTAGAAAGGTTCTAGAACCTTTGTTGATTTGGTATTTATGGAAGCTTTTAAAAGTTATGTTCTTATCCATTTGTTAATCCACATTATTAATGAAAAACTCAGTCGTTTACATTTAAGCCTTGAATTCAGAGTGATTGTTTTTAAGTTCTCAGGAATGCTATTTGACTTATTTTCTCCAGAACTTCACACTTTTCCTCCTGTCCCTCGCAAGGAAAAAAAAAAAATGTCTGCAGAATGAAGGCATATTTCCAGACTTAAGTGTAAAGAAAACTAAGATTTTTTTCAGGTTTGGATTTAACCTTTAGTTAAGAGAATTGCCATATATATATGATATATATACATATATATATACATATATATATGTATATATATAATCTCATATATATCATATATATACTTTTTAAATTTATGAAACTGAACATGAAAAAACAAAAAGATGAATTCCAGCTAAGTCATATCCTTTGAGAATGAATGAGACATGATGAGATATGTTAATAAGACATGACACACTTACCCATAATCAAACACTTCAATTCCTTGCCTAAAATTGACTTGGAAAATGGTACAAAATCTACAGCTGTTTAAAGGATGGTAAGATAATATATTTTAAAAGCCTATAAACCATTGAAAGCACTTACATATATGCTTTACATTCAAAACTAACTTATGGAGCCCATTTTATTCAATTTAAAAGTCAGCCCCCCCCATATTTATGGTTGCTTTTACTATATTTTTAAAAGGGGGTACTGCTAATAATTTAAGCCATCCTAGAGATAAAATAGGTGTATAGAATTCTTTTTATATCTTGGATGTTCTAGGTAATTCTTAAGAACTTTATTTGTTCTTCCTTAATCTGAAACTCTTCCATCATAGCTTCTGACCAGCAAAGAAACATTCCTTAGGCACTGTGAGGTGTCCTGATGATGGAGCGGGAACCCAGGTTGAAGCATACAATTCGGTTAGAACTACTGACAGTTAACACTCTTATCTGCTGAGAGCGAGAAATACCTTTACCCCACAACTCCTGAGATTCTTTAAGAGGAAAAACCAATTTCACAAACAATTTGTAAGACAATCCATGTATAAGTCTAAAAACTGCACATATTTATGGTACTAGATGTTTTCTTTTGTAAGGCATCAATGATTAAATTAATATAATGCATATCTAACAAAAGATGGTTAACACTCAGTATCAGAAAACCACTTATCTTTTCTCTTAAACTTCTCTAAGTCCTGCTACTTTTATCAGCTTAAATAAGAAAAGAATGCCTCTTGGCCTAATTAACTATGGTTATAAAAAAAACAAAACTAAGACATCTGAAACTTAGGCACATCAAAGTTACAGTTTATGTAGTTCAAGGTTCCCTTCTTAAGGGGCAGATGAGTTACCTGGCACATTATACATATGGAACTATAAAGATCATCACTAAATTCAACTTTCACATTTTTAGTTAAACTAAAAGACTTATAGTAAATATTCAAATATATCATATCTTCAGTTACAACTGAGTAAGTGTAACATTTCACCAGATAAAAGCTGGAATTTAAGTATGAGAAACCTTCATACACTGTGCTAGTATTGGTCTCTTCTTTTTAGACGAAAGCCAGTCATCAATACTTTCAACACAGCAGTTTAGAAGATAAAATGTCCAAAACAGTTGAAATAGATGTAGTCCATAATTTAGCAATTCAATGCCACTGGCATCATAATGCTGTGGAGAGCAAATGTATCTCCATATTTTAGTCAGATTTGTCTTTCTTCTTTCCTGTTAAGGGCACTTTGTTTACAACAGCGGACCCAACAGCTGTAACACCTCCAGCCACAGCAGACACGCCTCCTTTCACCAGCCCGATTCCCATGGAAGGCACAGTTGTAACAGCTGTTTTGGTCACCTCCAGACTCTTTCCACCAATCCAAGCCACACCACCAATGGTGGCACCAACAGCTCCCTTTGTAACACTGAAGATACCCCCGGTCACACGGGACAACATGCCTGGTTGCTGCTGTGGGTGATCTTTTATTGATCCTAATAAGAGAAAATACCGTGAGACTGTTAAATATATGTTTTTACAAGGAAAGTACAAATCATTTAAATAACCTAAGACTTCCTAACTATCAGGAATTTGTTCAGATAAGGTTAACCACATAAATGCAAATTTACATATTTGGCAATGGCTAAATTTATAAAAACCAATTTTTTATTGAAATTATTTGAGTAATAGTTAATGTGTACTTTAAAATAGCTGAAATAAAAGATATAATAAGCATCTGAATGTATGGTAGTCCCTCCTTATCTGCAGTTTTTTTGTTTTTTTTTAATTAAAGATTTTATTGGGGAATTGGGGGAGGCAACAGTGTTGGGGAATTGGGGGGAGGGGAACAGACAAGTAGCTGTCCTTTTGTTCTTCAGTCTAGTGGTGGAGGATGTCGCTTCACTGGCCCATGTTGGTTTATCATTGCACTCTTCCTGGGTGAGGTAGTCGCTCACCAGCCATTGGATGGCCATTCACGGTGGCTCACGGCAGCTCACGAAAGTGCACGCCCCCTGCCAGCCAGCCCCACTGCAGCCTACGCCATCGCCGGCGACTCACGGCAGCCCAGCTCCAGGTAGAGCTATTGTTCACCATCTTAGCTGTAGAGGGCGCAGCATCACTGGCCCACATGTGGGATCCGAACCAGGGCCCTGCTGCTCAGAGCTGGTGTCCCAAGCCAACTCTTAACCAACGCGCCACTCGGCCGGCCCTGCAGTTTTATTTAAGCAATTTCAGTTACCCACAGTCAACCATGGTCTGAAAATACTTTATGAAAAATTCCAGAAGTAATTCATAAGTGTTAAACAGTGTGCCATTCTGAGGAGCATGATGGAATCTTGCACTGTCCCCCTCCATCCCACCTCGGGGATGAATCATCCAATGCCAAGGGGTCTCACGTGGCACGTCCAGTACAAGAAGATATTTTGAGACACCAGTCACATATTTTCTATCACAGTATACTGTTATAATTCCATTTTATTATTCTTGCTAATCTCTTACTGTGCCTAATTTATACATTAAACTTTATCACAGGTATACATGTATAGCAAAAACAGTATATACAGGTGCAGTACTACCTAAGGTTTCAGGCATCCACTGGGGTCTTTGTGTCCCCTGCAGATGATTGGGGAGAGGGGAGAACTACTGTATTAATTATAAAATTACGATGGAAAGGGTTTCATAATTGGTAAGTCTTTTGTAATCAAGGTCGCTAACACTAAGGTGGAAAATCCTGATTTGAGGATAGAACATGTAACTGCTTCATGCTGAATACCTCATGTACGATTATCCTGCTATGCCAAATTTGGTGCATATGCATTTAATGAAGACAATTTTTCTCAGTCAAATCAGATAAATCTTAATGCTGTTGATCTTTGAGTACAGTGCACTCTGAATTACCGCCGTATACATTATCTACTTCACAGACCACTTTTGGTTAGCAGGGTGCCACACAGCCATTCCGGAGGCTCGTTCTCTTCCTTGGCAGTCATGCTCCTGGGCAGCCTTTATCTGTCGCTTTCCTGCTGACTTTTTCACAAAGTCCTTATTCATTTTCTCACTAAGCCCTAACTTTTCAAATCTCTAGGATTATAGTCCTAAAAAATAAAGGAAAACAGATGAGCTAATAATTTTCTAGGCTATTTCTCCACCAAATTAAACTAAAACTAATCAGCTTACCGCCATCCTTTTTTAGGCTTAAGTATGAACTTTTCATTGTGTTTATTTTCCTAGCAATTTCATTTTTGCCTACCAACATAGAAATACAGGCAGGAACTTTTGGACTTGGTAACAGAACTGGGAAGAAAATACAGTACCGAGGGCTAGAAGTTCTGCCCTCGCCTCTTCCCAGAGACATCCTAGTCTCTGCTACTCCATTCTGGTTTGTGGGCCACTTCATCTCTTATTCTCCAATTTGATTCTCTCTTACCTAGTGATTGTCCTGTACAAACATGCTGTTGTCCAAGGAGATCACTACTTGAATTGTTATAATAATCTATACCAAAACCATAAATTAAAAAATGCTTATAGGCATTTTCTGTATATAGTCAAGACATTTAGCTGTGGTTAGTGTTTCCAAAATGATTCATAATATCACAATTTTCAAACTAAAAGAGAATTTGAATTAAGCAGACTCTAAGACCATGTATAAGATAAGAGAGAGCTACCAGTTATAATGTAATGAAAAAATAGGAGTTTAACAACAAATCCCAAGTGCCTCCTGAGGTTTTTTATGCACAACATCAAAACGAAATACCCTTCCTCTGCACCCCACCCCCACTCTTTACAAATGATAGGATATTCTTTCCTGTGAGATAGTTTCAAAATAATAAGTAACAAAAATAGATCATGTATAATAAAACAGTTACATTATGTTCCCATTCACCAATATCTGTGTTTTCTTCTTAGAGGCTAAAAAGGTTTATCTTCAATTATTTTTGGAACATATTTACTGACAAGCTCAACAAGTGTGTTAAATTTAATAAAATCAATGATAACTTTAATTCACTAGGATTTTTTTTCCACTCTTAGTGTTACAGATGTACACTTACCTTCTGGTGGTTCATCACTAAGGTAAGATGGGATTTCTTGTTCATTTTTATCTGCCTGATTCATGATCTCCTAAAAAACACATATACACATTTCATTTTAACCTCAAAATGTGAGACTACCTCTTACCACATGCTCAATTAAGACTTTATTTGGATAAACAACATTTTAAAATACCCTTCACAAGACTACTTCATCTTGTTTCTCTCCTACTTCGTGGTGCTTAAGAAGTACTTTTAATTACACTAGTGGATTATAAATCTTATCTCAAACACCAAAGAGCGACAGGCACAATACAGGCTTTCTATGTTACTGCTGTTTCAACATAAATTGAAGATGACAAATTGAAAGAAAGTTGGAAAGTAGGGGTTAGGAGACAGAAATTTTAAGTGCTTCCTTCTACAGAATACTGACTAACTTAACTGTAATTTATTTCACAACAGACTTAAAGAAAAACCTGTACTATGACTAAAAAATGTGTTCTATTTGAAAAATTTCTAAAAAACATGACATCCTTCTCCTATAAAGATGACACCAATCCAAATCACTAAAAGATGGATTTTGATTACATTTTATAGGTATTTTTAGAGCTCTTATGAATAGGCAGCAAAAGAACTCAAAATCTATGAAAAAATATATAGAGAGACTATGATTACCTCTAAGTACTCGTAAGGGAACCTAAGAAATAAAACTATGTTGGGATGAAGAAAATGTAGTTAAACTTTCTCTTCCCAACTCCCTTTACTATTTTAAAATATTTGCTTTTATATTCACTTGACTAAGTAAAGATTAAAACGAGTCAAGACTGGTCTAAAAGTTTTCTTGCTTGGCCAGAAAACAAGGGTTGTGGTCCCAGCAGCCAACTAAGTATTTCCTAGTCATAAAACCATGTAGCCTAAATCACTGTAACTGTGCATGAACAACAGAGGTTAAAAGGATATTATGAAATCCTTCCATTTGTGGCATGGATCAGCGGTTCTCAACCTTGGGGGTCGAACGACCCTTTCACAGGGGTCGCCTAAGACCATAGGAAAACAAAAAGATATTTACATTACGATTCAAAACAGTAGCAAAATTAGTTATAGAGTAACAACGAAAATAATGTTATGGTCAGGGGTCACCACACCATGAGGAACTGTATTAAGGGGTCGCAGCATTAGGAAGGTTGAGAACTGCTGGCATGGATGAACCTTAAGGGCATTGTGCTAAGTGAAATAAGTCAAAGAAAGGCAAGTACTGTATGTTCTCACTTAATATGTGGAATCTAGAAAGGCTGAAACAGTAGATTGGTGGTTGCCAGGAGCTGAGGGGTGGGGGAGGGGGGAAATGGGGAGATGTTGGTCAAAGGGAACAAACTTCCAGTTATGAGTAAGTTCTGGGGAATCTAATGTACAGCATGGTGACTGTAGTTAACAATAATGTATTATATACTTGAAATTCAGTGCTAAAAGGGAAGGTGTTAAAATGTTCTCACCATATCAACAACAAAAGTAATGATGTGAGATGAAGGATATGTTAACTAACCTTATTGTGGTAAACATTTTGCAATACATATATGTGTATGAAACCATTACATTTTACACTTTAAACTTACACAATGCTATATGTCAATTATATATCTCAAAGCTGGAAGGAGAAGACTATTGTGAAAACTATCAATGTACTTCAATACACTAATTAACAGATATTTATTGAGCACCTACTATGGGCTAGGTAATATTTTAGGTGAACGGGATTCAGCAGTGATCATCAATACAGACTAAAAAAATCTGTGCCATCATGAACATCCCCTATTGTCTAGTGGGTGAAGGCAATAAATAATATACAAAGTATATACTGTGTATCAGATGGTATTAAATACTATGGAGAAAAAGAGAGGGGGCGGGAGCATGCGATATTTTAAAAAAAACAGTCTATGAAGACCTTACTGTAGTGACACCCCAAAGGAGGTAAGGATACAAGACACTTGGATGAAGAGCCCTCAAGGCAGAAAAAACAAGAGCAAAGGTCCTGAGTTGGGAGCTCACCAGGAACAGCCAGAAGAGTGCAACAAGGGCCCCATCAAAGGGCAGTAGGAGAGGCGGTCAGGGTGAGGTGTGGGTCGCACAGGCCCAGACAGGTCATGGTGCTGGTTAGCCTTTAATTCTGAGTGAGGTGGGGAGCCAGTGGCAGGCACTGAACCAGAGGGGTGATGTGTTCTGATTTATACTTTTATAAGATCGTTCTGGCTGTTGTGGGGAGAACAAGCAACAGGAGAGCAAGAACACACAGAAAGACCTGTCCAGAGACTTAGCATAATTTTTCAAGGTTCATACACATTGCAGCATGTTTCAGAACAAAGTGGTTAATTTTCAGTGGTCAAAGGAAGGTCAAGGGAAGTTTTCCTTTCTTACTGCTTTCATAGCACCATATGCTCCAATAATTCATCCATATTTCCTTCTATATTTCAGTAATTGGGGCAGAAAATGTCGGTCGTGAATGAGGATGGTAAAAGGTAGTGGTTGTGAGAAGTGGGATTTTCCAAAGGTAATTTTAACTGCGAGCAATTCAACTTGCAGTGCCTTTAAAATCTAAAGCCTGTGTAAGATGGCACTTCACTGCACCCCCCAGACTCCAGCAGCACATGTCAAGTGCTTAAATAAATATTTTTAGTTGCTCTAGTGAAAACCCTGAGTCAGGCCACTTATCAAGAGCACCTAATCTTATGCTGGTCTGGTTTGAGGGTTTGAGAACTTAGCACATCCTCCCATACACACTTAAGATTTAAAAAGTAACAGTAAAGACATGTAATCTCTGACCAAAAAAAAGAATTACCAGCTGCTGCATTACTGGGAGTTCTTGATTGACTTGCCTTAATTTTAAAACTCCCTTAAACCAGAATGTTAAATTTATTTCCATTCATAGTTTGTTTTTTTTCTGTTTTGTTTTGTTTTTTTAAGATTTTATTGGGGAAGGGGAACAGCCAAGTTGTTGTCCTTCAATCTTAGTTATGGAGGGCGCAGCTAGCTCAGCTCCAAGTCCAGTCACCATCCAGCAGCTCAGCTCAAGGTGCCATATTCAATCTTAAGTGCGGGCGGGCGTAGCCCGCCATCAACCCATGCAGGAGTCAAAACAGCAATCTTGTTGTTAGGAGCATGTGCTCTTACCAGCTGAACCATCCTGTCACCCGTTGGCAGCTCAGCGCAGCTCAGCTCGTGCGCAGCTCACTAGCCCAAGTGGGAATTGAACTGGTGACCCTGTTGCTCAGAGCTTGCACTCTTAAGCCAACTGAGCCACTAGGCCAGCCATATTTATATTTCTTTAATTTATCATCATGGTAAGATCATGAGGAATTATACAGCATAGTGTTTAAAGTTCTGGGATCAGAAAGCCTGATTTTGAATCCCAACTTGACCATAAACTGTGTGGCTGAGGACAAATAACTATCAGATCCTTGCTGTTCAGGAAATATAAAATAGAAATTAAAGATATTCTAGCCCTCATTCTAAGATGAGAATACTGTTTAACAAATTCAAAACAAAACATGCAGAAATTCCTGGCAGAATGTGTCTCGCTTCCTAAGGCATAACCAACTCTTCTGGAGCTGCTTTCTTCCCCACTAGACTGTTCATTCCTAGGAGAGAGACACTTGGTCTAGTTTGCTCATCACTGTAGTCCCGGTATCTGTATACCACACACATACAAATCCATGAGCGCGCCTGGCTGATCACACTGATCAATAGATGGGCTACCATACCCTGTGAGAAATATTGGGAAATTATATACATATATGCATCTTACATATTTTAGCTGGAGTTTTAAAAATAGATGATAGCAATTACATACATTTCAAAACCACCTTTCTGTATATATCCCACAAATTCCCACTAAGAGTCTTTTCCTCCTAATATGGAACTCCTTAAAAAGTATTCATTTTTCCATATGTTATAATTTTTAAAAAAAGACCACCATGTAAAAGATTAGAGCTGCTTTATACTATGAGAGCATAAAAGACATGCAGATTCATCTAAGGCGAGCTGACACTATTCTGTGAGCAGATACCACTGTCAGACCTGTGCTTTAAGAAGCCAACTGACACAAGAACAGATGGAAGGACAGAGATTAACTGCAGTGTCTACTTTACAGTCCAGTGAGACGGAATAAGTCTGAACTCTTGCCAGTTTTTCCTGTTTAAATAAATGTTTGGGCCAAAATCCTAGGAGTAGCCCTGGATTTCCTTTTTTTACATTCCCATCTAATCACCGGTTATTGTTGCCTAAGTAAATCCAGAATATGACTACTCATCACCTTCACTGCTACCACTATCAATTAGGCCTACATCATCAGTCTTACTTGGACTACAGAATCCCTTAACTGGCCTCTGAGCTTTCAACGCTGGGAAGCTAGACCGTTAAGCCATGCCATACTTTGCTTACAGCCCTCCCTGTGCTTCCTGTTTTTCTCAGAATAAATTCCAGAGCCCATCCCTTCGCCTTTGAGGCCTGACATCTAGCACTGATATCATTTCCTACCACCTGCCTCTTGTTCATTCCAGTCTAGCAACACCGGAGCTTCCTTGCTTACCTTCTGAAAGGCTTGTACCCAAAATATGTACATGGCTTTGCTTCCTTACTTCTTTCAGGTCTTCGTGCAAAAGTCTTATCAGAGGTCTTCCCTGATCCTACTCCTCCATCGTTTTCACCTAACCCTGCTCTATTTTCTTCATTGTTCATACTGTCACTTGATGTATGTACCTGTTTACTGTATGTCTCTCTCAATTAGAATGTAATCTCCATGAGAACAAGGTTTGGTTTCATTCACTGCTCAATCCCAGAGTCATAATCAATGACTGATGCATGGTAGATGCTCAAATACTTCAGTTTTTTGGTTTTTTTTTTTTGTATGAAGTAGGACATAACTTCAGTATTAATGTGAGATAAAAGGAGAATATCGGATGCAAACTTTCTGGTATGAGCAACTAAGTAGATAGAGATGATGAACACATGGGATAAGAGAGGAGAAACCATTTACTTCTGAAAGAAGATGAAGGACTTTTGTGGTAAGAACGCTTAACATGAGATCTGCCTGCTAAC